TTTATTTTTCCCCGCCAAAAAGTGTCCTGGAAAACATCCGGAAAAGGCCCCGCGCTCCAGGCGTAAAGCCAGTCAGTTGTTGAATTTTAAGGGGTAGCCGATGGCTTTTTCCAGGCACTCGACCAAAGAGCCGGCCGAGAGAAAATCCCTCTCCACTTCCACAAATTTGATGTAGACGGATTTGGGCGAGACGCCGGGCTCCACGAGGCAGTTCTGCGACAAGAAGCCGTTGATGCCGCCCCATTCCTTGCCCAAGCTCTTCCCGTTGGCTTGGAAGTGCAGGAAGAGGCACTGCTGCAGCGTCCGGACCTCGGCGATTCCCAAGTAACAGTAGACGATCCGGGGCGATTCCGCGGGCGCCCGCGCCGCGTCGCCGTCGGCGGGCGCTTCCGGAGAGGGCGCTTTGGGCGGACACTCTTCGTAGCCGATGGCGTACAAGCCGGGACTTTTGGGAATGCCGCCGGGCAACAAGTACTGCACCACGTTGCCGCCGGTGGGTTTGGAGTGGGCGATGGGGATCCAGTCGATCTCCATGTGCAGCTCCAGGCAGCGCGCCTCGCTGATGGTGATCTCCAGGAATTTGTAGTAAACGTTTTTCCAGTTCATTTTCTGCACCCGCGTCATGATCACCCGGCCCTCCGGCTTCTCCGAGTTGAAATATTCCCGGAGCCGTTTGCCCAGCGGCACCTGGGAGCTGATCTCGGCGTAGTGGTAGCGGATGTCCTCCTTCCAGCGCGTGTTGTAGCCGATGCCGAAAATGGCCAGTTTGTTGGAAAGGTGGAGCCGGGAGAAGTCCGTCCAGCTCTGGAAGAGCTCCCACTTGAGCTGCACCGACTCCAGGATCTGCACGATGTTCTGCATCACGTCCCGCTTCCTGGCGGGAATTGCAACGGAGAGGAGGATGAGCCGGGGTAACTCCCAAGCGGAAAAACGCCCTTTTTTGCACCCCCTTTTTTTTTTTGCATTTTTTTTTGCACCCGCTTTAGGCTAAAAACCTCCCAGGAGGGAGAAGCCAAATAGGCAGCACGATCCCATAAATTCCAGGAATTTTAGTTTTAATAAAATATATAAAATTCCGTGCTGGCATCCAATAGCAAATGTCTCTCCCCAAACTCGTGCAAGGGACAGAGGTGCCACCCGAAAGAGAGCAAAGCAACGAGGCAGCTGACGGGGTGGAAAAACCTCCGGAAAAGCCGGAGCCAGGAGCTCATCCAGCCCAAGGGGAGGTTACGGGATGCGGCTGCGCTCGGGATGACGCGAAGTCGAAGGGAAAAGTCCCCAAAAATCAAGCAGAGGGTTTTAGCACCGGGAATTTTTTTGCCATTTGAACTATAATCCAGAGCATCGTGTCTCCTCCTCTCCCATACAACATCCCTAGGGAAGTGTGGGGGGGAGAAAGGGAGGAGAACATTCCCGAAGGACTTACTGGGAGTCTTCCGAAGATTCCTGTTTTATCTTCAGCGTCCGCTTCGTGGTGGGCATCTCGTCTGGAAGGGAAAACATGGGACACGTCGTTGTGTGCTAAACGATGGGGAAAAAAGCCCCAGATCCAACCCGCTTGGATGCCGAACACCGGATAGAAACGGGAAGAAAGGGGGAAAACTTCCCAGTCTGGGCTGGATCCAGGCTGCTTGGATGCGGAATAATGGATAGAAATAGGGAGAAAAGGGAAAAACTCCCTAGTTCGGTCCAGACTGAATACACTTGGATGCTGAATACTGGATAGAAGTGGGGAGTAAGGGAGAAAATTCCCCAGTTTGATCCGAATCCAATGCACTTGGATAGGAATAGGGGGAAGGTTGGAAAAATCCTTAGTACAGTCCAGATCTAATCCACTTGGATGCTGAACACTGGATACAAAACAGCAAAAAAGGGAAAAACTCCCATCTATGTTGGATCTAGACCAAACAGGGACATTTTCTACCTTTTCCCTGTTTCGATCCGTTATTCAGCATCCAAGTACCTTAAATCCGGATGGAATTGGGGATTTTTTCCCCCCTTTCCACCTATTTCCACCTGGTGTTCAGCATCCATGGATACTGGATCCTGACCAAACACCAGGCAGAAATAGGGAGAAAGGGGGAAAACTCCCCCTTTCAGTTGGGATCTAACGTACTTGTACTGAAATCAGGAAAAAGGTGGAAAATTCCCCAGTTTGGTCCATATTTAACGTGCTTTGATGCTGAACGCTGGATAAAAATAGGGAGAAAAAGGAAAAACTCCCAAGCATGTTGGAGGAGGACCAAACTGGGCAATATTCCGCCTTTCTCCCCATTTCTATCCGTTATTCAGCATCCAAGCATGCCGGATCCAGACTCAACTGGGGAATTTTCCCCAATTCTACCCACTTCTCCCAAGTCAAGCAGGTCAGATCCAGACCCAATGGGGGATTTTCCCCACTTTTATCCATTTCTCCCAATCCAAGCACATTGGGTTTGGACTCAACTGGGAATTCTCCCCGTTTCTCCCAATCTAAGCACATCGGATCCAAA